TTGCTTTGTACTATAATATAATCTGACCCTACAGTATAATCGTGCAACTGTCGATTCTACGTTCTATTGTAATGATAATATCGATAAAGAAATTTGTTTAATAATTATTAGAATGAGGTAATGTTTAATTATTAAAATAATAAAATTAAACATTACTATTACATAATTACATACTTAAGAATGAGTTACACACTTAAGAATGAATGATAATTACATATAAACATTACATTATTAATTATAATAATTAAACATCACCTCATTCTAACAGTGATTTTAAAATTATAATTATAAAATTGACAAAGTACATATAAGGACTTCAAGTAATGAAGTTAAGTTGTGATAAGTTTGAAGGTCTTATGCTACTTTTATTCCTGCAAATAATTTACTTAAGACAGTTTTAGCAATTATTTTATCATTAAACACAATTGTTTTAAGAAAAACTTTTTTTAATTAGATATACCTTGAAAAAATTTAGAATTTTGCTCTGTTGTTGTTTAATATATTTTAAGTTTGTAGATCTTTCTCCAAGTTAAAAATAAAGTTTTGACAGTTTTAACGAAACTAATAGAGGCATAAAACTTCATAGTTTTCGATTTTTATAAGAAAAACTTTTCTAAACATATTCCGTCTTATTATAAAAACTTCTATAAGTACTAGGTTTAAACCAGGACTAAAAGGTCTAAGCTTATTACGGTACTAACGTTAGTTCTTTCATTCGTATTACAAATCGTAGACCAACAAAGGACTACTTAGTACCAAAGATCGTCTCTGGTCTAAATATTTTCCACAGATTATAAGCAACAAAATTTTTAAATTATTCATTCATTCGTTCAGCGTTCTACGCGCCTTTCCTTTTTAACAAAATGTTGTTACGAAATATAAAGAAAAATATTTTATGAATTGTTATTTGTAGGGGTTAAATTTAAAGTTTTGTTATTTAAAGGTATTTAAATATTCCGACTTGTATTTTTTTGAATGCATGTTCACAATCCAATTATTAATGTTATGTTTTGGAACAACTACCGAGCTAGCACGTATGAGTATAACGGAGTGAACTGGACGGCGCGCGTAATTCGAGTAATGTAATCGAAATGTTTACGTGTTACTTACCACTGCATCACTAATGATGCAGTGGTAAGTAAAAGTTAACAATAGTGGAGAGTATAATATGATGACAATTTACTAAACATTTACCTGTTACTGATGACAAATACAACAACAACAATATTTGAAGACCCTGATGCTGGCCATAGCTCAATAGAACCAATTGTAGTGATTATAAGTGATGAAAATGTAGAGTCCAGTATTGAAGAAAAACAAGGTATAATAATTTCATAATAAGAAAAAATACAGGTTAGTTTTATTAATATTATTTATTATTTTCAGTGATCTACACCAGTGAAACTGTGCAAACAAAATATATTTTATTTCAATCAAGGCACCACAAAAATATAAATAAAGCTTACCACACTAAAATAATAAGTCTAATTATTACATAATAATATAGAATTTATTTTACAGAAATGAAGAAGGGTGTCAAGCTATTATAAATAGTAATACAGAATTTTAAAAAAAAGGAGCTTGATACGCACCTACGTGCCCGCTTTTAAATCTGGTTTTGCGCAACGTCAATTGGCCTATAATGGCCCCTTTTTGTACAGACATTTCAATGAGCTGAATCAAATCATTAATATGAACCGTCCAACCCTAAAACTAACATTGAAAAATAGCCTGAAAGCGATTGGTTATCGTGCAACAGAAGATATCCTTAAAATTATTATTTGAAGTGGCGGAAACAGTTTATAATTATTTTACTAATACACAGACATGCGTAACACTTATCCTTCCTTCGTGTGCAACATAGCACACAAAATACCCGCTTGGAATTCAACACACACTACAAATAACATCCCCACACACCGTTCTACACAACTCACTGACCACCAATTACACAACACACCAAATTAACACCCATTACACCACACAGCCACCACCCATTACACAATACACTACAAAAGAAAATTACATGAACTTTTAAGATATTATTTATCTTAAGTTTGAAGCCTATGATGAAATTAAAATTGATAATATTATAATATAGTATACTGTGTATCTTAAAACAAAGACATAATTAAATTGAGTTTGGAAAACAATTCTATGCATAGTAAGTGATCGCGACACGTAAAAGTCAGCAACTCATGTCTTGTACCACACATCCACTTGTACCACACATCCTGTCGTTGAACACAAAACAAGAAACGAAGTATTGCTATTGGCATCGTTTATGATCTACCCTCCTATATTTTTATTGTATACCTAATAAACTAGTGATTTGTACGTATTTAAATTTAAGGTTCTACTTTAGATATAAGACAGCAGTGTATATGGGGTGGAGGGTTGATAACCTGAGATACAGGAACATTCCTAGTTCAGGTATCAGCCCACCATGGTCCCTTTATTTTCGTTTAATATGTATTTAAATGTAAATCCTGTAATTATGGTGAGAAATAAACTTATACTTATACTTACTTATATGTTGGAAGCCCAGCACTTCTATCAAGTTGAAATATCAAAATTAAAAATTAAAAAGCTACAATTACAAATAGCACTATTGGAGACTCAGATAAAAACTAACACCATTACTAAAGATTAAAATGTAAGTTACACTTTTTGACTGATATCAATACAATTTATAATTAAAGTAAGTATAAATTGTTGAGTCAAGAGTTTCAAATAAATAACTAATGTAATCTCCTATTGAATAAAATACTTCAAATATATTGACAATCACATAATAATATAACATAATTATTTTCAGGTTATATATTCCCCATAATAATCATTAGTATTATAGGACTGATTTTAGCATTTTCTTAAAGATAAAAGTTACTTTTAATTTATGTTTGATTTATTAATAATTATCTTTATGAAAAAAGGATCATTAGCTTTTATTTTAGCATTCATATAATACATGTATTAAACATATACATATATGAATATCACAAAAATGAAATATAGTTATATATAATAAATGTTATTTTATGAAAAGTGAGTTTCAATAAACTGCCTTCTAATATTCCCTCTTAGTGAATTTTGAACTGGCTGCACTGACATCATCTATTACTGTAACTGTACTGTACTGTACTGTACGCCATGTAAGTCACTAGTATCGTCTTGAATCTGTAAAAAAAACAATTATAAAGTAATACATCATTGATGACGCACATTAGCCATAATTACATTACAAGGTACCAACTTACTTCATGGCGAGCCCAGTTGCGTAGTGCGCAAGCTACTTGCATTTCGGGGCTTAACGGACATCCTCGAGGATCGTGGGATAAATCCTCACGTAATAAATCGACAATCCTTTCGCGAAAACGTTTACTAAATCTATATTTATATCGAAAATCTTCATCAGGTAATTCAAATGGATTTCGACGCTGACGAACTCTGTTCGGTCCCCGGGAACTTTCTAGTATATCCAACACATTCAAATCTTCCAAATCAAACATATCAATTGCATCAATATCCATTTTTTGGTTTCTGATCACAAATTCCTTTCCGAAAGCGAACCTCAAATTTAAGAATTTGACGTTTGACAATTTAGTACCATAGTTAAACTAGGGGTCACGATGGTCTAACTTTGATACCATAGATAGTTCTAGGACTAGCGATAAACTTCGTTTTGTAATAACGTTTATTCAAGGTCATGGTTTAAACCTAGTACTAAAGCCGGTACTTTTTTAAGTCCACGTTTTATAATAAGACGGATTAACTATACAACACTTACATATTACAAACATACATCAGACTAACGATGCGATGCATGTTATTTTAAAGTTGGTTTATTACTAGAAGCTCATAAGCTTCAATAATAGTAATGATCTGTCATGTCGTCGTGTCGAGTCGTGAAGAATTATATAAGCAGATCATGTATCACTATCATCACTCACATCTTTAGAAATCGTTTTTAAGATGCATGTATATTGTAGCTATAATAGTGATTTTGCTACATTCTGTGCTCTTTTTCAACACAGATGTTTGTTTCTTCATGTGTGACGCAGTCGCGTTACACTGCGCCCAGCCACCGGGAACCGGCCTAGAGTCGTTAACTTCAGCCCGGCGACTATTGTCTTGAAACGTACAGTATAGTACATAAGTCTGTTGCCCCCTACATCTGTACATTATTATTTGATATTTATAGAACCATGTATAGATTAAGTATTTAGATACTATTAATTTCTAAATATGAATGACGAGTTAATTGAATTATGAAATTTGAATTTTGGAATGAACTGAGAATACTATACGAGTATACTATTACAAAGCCTAAAGAAAGTAGTGGTATGGACCTTATTTGTGTATTTGTTACACACTTTCGGAAATGAAAAGCATTATAAACACTTTATTTTATTTGTTTTCAACATATATATACAAGATCGTCCTATAATATAAAATAAGTAGGTATATAAAATAGTATTTTTAAAGATCTTTAAAAAAATAAAAACTCTTTTAAAATGGTACTATCGCAACTTTGTGCACTGGAAGCTGGGTAAGGAGACATCCGCGTTTTGTCTCTAAATTCGGCGAGCTGTATGCTTAGTTGGTGTGGGTGTCGGGTGGTAGGTAGGATGCGCCGGGCGGGCGGCGCATCCGCCCTGCGTCAGTGCCGTCAGTCGCTCGCCGCCGCGCGTTCGGCTGGCTGCCGACCCCCGTATTCGTTCTCTGCTATCACGTATATTATGGCCTGCGATTACTTTGAATTGCAAATCTTGACATAAATGTAATTACGAATAATATATACTCTACTGTTTATGCATAAAATGCTATTATGAAATTTTTAAAACACAAGTTACATTGTCTTCATAGTTTACTTGTTGTGTGTTAACAAATGAGATATTTATATTTTCATATTCAACGTTATAATGTTCAAAAGTTGCTGTGCTCGACCGACAAAAAAAATTCAGATCAAAAGAAAAAGCAAATCAGTATCTGACAAAATGGATTCAATGTCTGAAAATGTAATGCAAAAGGAAAAATTGGCGGAGAACGATGTTAATGACATACACGAAAAAGACAACTTGACACTAACAACCACAGAGTCTCCCATAAAACAAGATGTAAATGTTACATTTGTAGAAGAAAATAAAACCGAAGAACCAGAACCTGCTATAACTGTGGCAAACCAACAAGATAACAATGATGAAGATGTTCTTCATGATTCAGTCAGCGAATCTGAAGACAATACTAAAGATCGGACACTTTCCAAAAGAGAATTTACAAGAAAAAGGTATTCAGTGGATTATAAAAGGACCCATCTGAATTTTAAGCGATTTTCCGTAGATTTTCGCCGTGATTCTGCGACTTTAGAAGAATTAGAACGTCTAGAACAAGAGTTGGCGCGAACCAACGTAGATGCGCGAATTGGTGGACGTCGCAAATCATCTGGCATATTAAAATCTTCTTCGAACAGTACTAATGGAGTCTCTGAACATCGGTCTAATATTAAACCAGAATCCGATACTGAAGACGATGAAGTGGTTGAGCAAAACGCAACCAAAACAGCCGAAAGTGAGGGTCCTCGAGAGCCTCCTGCAACTCCTGTTGGGCGGGATGAATTAGCATTGCGAAGACATAGGTTTTTCTCGGACCTCGTATGTGCGGCACGTGCAGCCGTTGAACATCGCGTGCGTTTTGATCCTCTAGGTCCTGTTGTTGCAGATACAGGTGAGGATGGCAAAAACTGTATATTATTTTCTTACTCATCAGGAGTTAAATGTTGTAAATTGTAAAATCCTTACAAAATATTTCTAGTAAATTATTTTATTTCGCTGGAGTTAGTTTAAAATTTAAAACAATATATTAATTCGTAATTCGTTCGTTCGTTTTGTGATAAGTTTTACTCTAAGACTAGTAAAGTAAGTATGTATTGAATGGTTTTGCTGACCGTCTTTTGTTATTGGTTTGTACGCTGCGAGCACCATGAGAAATCGATTCCGTTGGCCGTTATCCAAGTAAGCAATTGGCATATTCTCAGTCTCCTGAAAATTCGATACGCAAATTATTTAAACACTACCCTTTCTTTAATATATTTTTGTACTTCAATTAACTAATATTTCATGTATGAATTAAATATGAAATCTGCTTAATAATAATTGAAAAAAAAACTTATTATTAGTTATCTGACTAGAACTTGTCTTGTTCAATAAATTTGTTTTTATTTTTGTAACGGTTTTATTTCATAGAAAACAAAGTAATAGTTTTTCTCAACTTCCTGAGTCTAAACTGAATCCGGACTATTGCTTATTTTATTACCAAGTTTTGAAAATACCATCTCATTTTTATTCGTGTAAGATAGATTTTACAATTTTACTGATGTATGAATGCAATCTTACAGTGGTCCGTAAAACGTCAACTGTTTATATTTTTATCAATACTGATCGACATCATTTATTTTAAATATGTGCTTACTACAAGTGTTTTGAACCAATTACTTTCTTTTTCAAGTGTAGAAACTATTACACTCCATCTTTGGGTTGTCGAGAGAGAGATTATTTGCACTCTTTTACATAATTTTTATTAATGTGTGTATATGTCAAAATACGGTATTAAAGAAATAACAGAACAACTGATATAGTAATACGTTTATGTAACACGTTGAACTGTTATACATATAATGCTGTACATGCGCACATGTGTAATGTATTATATTTAACAAGTGAATTTACGTTTTATTTTAAAATATGACAGTAAAATGTTTAAGAGAGAGGATATATAATCGAGATTAATGCGAGCTTCGAATTATTTTTTGACGCTTGATCCAGAGCTTTTTGTAAGAACCATTTAGGCGTTCAAGTTGTAGCTTTATCCAATTAATAAGTTATTCCTTATAACTATCTAGACAGGTTTAACCGCAATCTTTATCACATTGGCAAAACACGTCATGTCTTATTTATCTAGAATAGCTTAAGTATATAAAACTCCATGAAGTATCCTATAACTCTCCATCACTCTTTATACAATTTTTTTTAGTCTTCCTCCGACAGGTCGAAAATGGCTGATTCGTAGGCAGCCTCCGCTTCTTATCTTTTATGGTGGGGAATAAAAACAAGTCACAAGGACCTAAATAGGGGCTGTAAGGTGGGTGAGGTAGGGTTTCAATACCCGATTCTTGAATAAACTCTTTTTTTTCTTCGGTCTTAGGTCCTTTCAATTAACGTTTGGCAATGCGACTGTAGTGTACCATTCTGAGTTAAAAATTCTGTAGCATTGATGTTGCAAGATGTCCACTCCGTTAAAAAAATTCGGCCACCATTTTTTGCCAATGTTCAAGCCTCAAGGCAGCCAACGACAACAAAGCTTCCTAATTCTAAGATGCTCATATTATATGGTGTGAACACTAACCGAACTGATGCCTAAGATTTTCTATATGTTCCCTGTATGTAATTCGTGAGTTATCTCGCACAAGCATTTCAGTAGTCCACACATTTTCAGCAGTGACTACTGATGGCGGGCGCCCACTTCTGTCATCATCAAGACTAGTTTTCCCCCTTTTAAATTCGTTAAACCATCTATAAATGGTTGCCTGAGAAGGAGCAGACTCACCTAAAGCTGATTTTAAACTTCTAAGCTTAACCTTTAGATAAACCACATATAAAGATAGCACGCAAATGTTCACGTTTAAGCTCCATTGTAGCAGGCGAAAAAGTGGGCAATAGTGACAGTATAATACTTCTGTTTTTTTTTATTGCTTTAAATGGCCTTTTATGTGCGTTTTTCAAATTTCGAGCATCTCATAACTTATATAGTGACCCACGTATTTAAAGTTTAATCACAACCAGCGAAGAGTGTCTCACGGTGTGCTGCTCATATTATTACATGTGTTTATAAAGGATTGGTTCCTGGCAGCTCAAAAAGGCGGTGGTTCCTATACTTTCTTAAGTAGAACGTGTTGGCTATGCCCGATCTCCGGTAGACCAAATCGACGTTTATTTTCCTATTTGTAAAAGTTTAATCTACTAGAGGTTTTTCCCTCATATACACAAACATTTATTTTAAAGTAATATATTTTAATCATGAATAAATCGTATGGTATATGAACCTTCATTTTCATACTTTGAATTCAATTGAATAACTACAGATCCATTAATTTCTAATTGCTTCAGTTTAAAATCTTTACGATGAATCTTAACGAATACTTAATAGCTTTTATAGATTAAAACGAAAATATACTATAGTTCATTTGTGTATGAGCCAGACAATGTATACGAGCCCCGATGCAAAATAGTTCGTCTAGTATGGAAAGTAGTGCAAAGCGTAAAATATAGAAAGTAAATATTGGTAAAATAAATTAAGAACGTTTCTCCTTAGCGGTGTAAAATCCGTAACCCATTCTTTTTAGGACTCTTGCAAGTATCAACTGAGACGTCTTTGTGTCATTTTGCATCAGGGCTCGTATAATAGTTGTATATGATGATTGATGTGTTCTTTATCTGTGAGCAGTTTAACTAATAAAATATTTTAGGCAAAGAAGTATATTTTCTCTTCATTTGTAATACTGAGCCACTAAAACCGTTGCCTTGTTGTTGTTCCCAAACCCTTAATTAATTAAAAAACTAAATAAATAAATTGCAACCTTTTAGACTATGAAAGACAGATTACTAAAGAGATTTAACGTATTATGAAAAAGCTTTTTGAAATAAGTAGCTCCTTTTGAAGCTATTTTAGTACCTTCGCTTACAAAGAAAAGAATGGTCTTCTTCCATTAATCTGTCTTAAGGTTTAAACCAATCGACCAGGCTTAGATTACCCTTAAATAAAGTACCTAGAGAAATCTTTTTTCTCAGTAAGCCACGACTTTGTAATGTATCCAATACATTCGCAACACGTATTCGACGGTTAATTTGTTGTGGTATAAGATTTGCTTTTAATTAAATAACAATTTTCTCAAAGATTTGAGTAAACCGGACAAAACGATTGATTTACTACAGAAAGGGCCAACTTTTATAATTTGAATAGTTCAGCTTCAGCATAGGTGACCGCTTTTGTTTTTGTTAATTTAGACTTACTTAAATTAATATTATATTTAGGATATCATCACAAAAGATTTTGTTCACATTTAATTATGTTTATGTTATTATGTATTATGTTTTAACATACGCAACCTTTTACACTGTTGCGAAAAATGGGACACTACTACACAAGCCTATTTAGGCAAGCCTGTTGTTTTGCCCTCGGGGACCGAGGGCTTAGTAAAGTTCACATGAAATGTATATACTCAGCACTCTTATGCTATAACAATGTCTTTATATTATGTATATGACAGCAAGTGATGTGTATGTCTAGGTGAATATTCGTTGAATTTAAAGAGTTAAAATTGATCAGTCAGTTTTCTTTTTAAGTATTTACATGACCGTCCTTTATTTCACCGGCTCTATATGTCATCGTACATCGTAACGGTGTTGATTATCACAATTAAAACATAATTGACTTCAAATGTAACCTGAAGTAGGTATAAAGGTAGCAAAAATAAGTTGAGTATACTCGTATTTACAGCAGTAGGATTCATCACACTCTCTGTGCTGACTTTTGCGTGGTTAACCCAGGCGAACGAGGGCGTCTCCCCCCCGGGCTGGGTGTAATCTGCTACGCGGATGACACCTTACTCACGGCCCGGGGGGCTAACTTCCAGGAGGCGGTGCGCCTGGCCGCCACGGGAGTTTCCCAGGTGGTCGGGCGCGTTGAGGCGTTGGGATTACGGGTGGCCCTGGATAAGACGGAGGCCCTATTATTTCATGGGCCCCGTCGTGGTCCACCCGCCGGCGCCTCAATCGAGGTCCTCTCGGTCCTCGTACCGGTCCGGGCCCAGATGAGGTACCTGGGTCTGGTCCTAGACGGTAGGTGGCTCTTCGACGAGCACTTCCGACAGCTTGGTCCGAAGCTGGTGGACACTGCCTCCGCCCTAGGGCGACTTTTGCCCAATTTGGGCGGGGCCAGTGTTCCCACGAGGCGGCTGTACGCGGGGGTTGTCCGGTCCATGGCGCTTTATTTTGCACCGGTGTGGGTGGCGGCTCTGACCGCCCCGAATAGGGCGCGCCTCTGGCGCCCCCAGAGGATATAGGATATATATCGGCGAGTGGCTGACTTCCGGGCGGAGAGCGGATTTCGCCCTCCGCCCGAGGACGTGCGCGAGTGGCGCGAAGCCGCTCGCCGAGCCACCATGGTCAGATGGTCGTTCCGGCTGGAGACTCCACGCGCTGGATTCGCCGCCGTGGAGGCTCTCTAGCCGGTCATCGCCGAGTGGGCAGGGCGGCAGCACAGGACCCTTTCCTTCCGGCTGACGCAGGTGCTTTCCGGGCACGGTTGCTTCGGAAAGTACCTGCACTCGGTCGCTAGGAGGGAACCGAGTCCCGCCTGCCACCACTGCGACTGCAGTGAGGACTCGGCCCAGCACACGCTGGCGGGCTGCCCCGCATGGGCGACGCAGCGCCGGGCCCTCACTGCAGTCATCGGAGCAGATCTCTCGCTACCGGCCGTAATTCGCTCCATGGCCGGTAGCGACAGTTGTTTTACCGCGGTCGCAACCTTCTGCGAGGAGGTAATCTCGCAGAAGGAGGCGGCGGAGAAGGCCCGGGAGGACGACCTCCACTCGGACCTGATCCGCCGCCGGCGAACCGGGCGGCGAAGGCGCGCTTACCTGCGCCTCATGCCGCCCTGAGTGTGGCCGCGGGTGGACGGGGTGGGTTTCCGTTCCACCCGCATTAGTTTGGCCAGACGCGAGGGGGCGGCGTCC